ACTTAGAGGATGCTTCATGTTCGCAGCATGTACTGAAGTTATCGTCTCGATCAGGATAAAAGAAGGAATTTCACTTGCCTCTATGTCCAACTTGTAAAATATATATATATTTTTTTAAATAAAAAGTGTGAAATTATATTAACATGGTACAATCGGAGGTACTGTCCCTTTACAAAAACTTTACAATGTAGTTAGCGAATCAATAACATACCCAAAATTCACATCATTAATCATGTCATGCCCTAACAATAAAAATCCAAAATAATGCAATCACCCCTGTCAAACTATACAAATCATTCGTTTTACCCTCAAAAACTCTGGAATTTCTCTCTTTCCATAGAATCCAAAACAAGGATAAAAGAATTAGATTTTTCAACTTTCTTTCTAAGTGAATCTCTTCCCAAGCCCACAATTCCTCCCTAATAGATCCAGCCATCACCCAGCTAACTCCAATCATACTATAAATAGCAACCCAAAAGCCATAGGACACCGCAACAGAACATGCACACAGCTTTCCTCATTAGCCATACACAACTAGCACCGGTTGGGAATGACCAACCCCCCTAGCTTTTAGTTTATTAATTGTCAAGATGCATTCTCTACTTGCTTCCCATGCAAAAAAAAAAGCAACTCTTGGGGGTACTTTTGCCTTCCAAATCTGCCTTGCGGGAAAATTAAAACTCATCACATTTTTATTCTGTTAAGTGCTTGTAATAAGATTTGACAGAAAAAACACCACTTCTATCCAGCTTCCACTGCACCTTGTCCTCCCCAGTGGACACCTGTTGAGCAGTCAATAAAAGTAGCAGATTTTCGAACTCTCTGAATTCCCATTTCTGCAAATTTCTTGAAATATTGATCACCCATTCAACACAACCATTATTAATCTTGTAAGCATCTTGAACCAGCATATTTTGTGCCTGAGCAATGGAAAAAATTATGGGAAACCTCCTCATTAAACACATTATCTATCCAAATATCCTTTCAAAATCTGATTTTGTTACCCCTACCAACCTTCCACTGCAGATTTTTCAAAAAAATAGGCCACTGCATCAAGATTTTCCTCCATAAACTCGTTCCATGAGTTCTTCTAAGCCTTGTGACCCCACTGTTGTCCCACATGAAGTCACCCCAACAGATCCATTCAAGCTGCCTCCATAATCTGTTCTCCTCGTATAAATAACGCCACAAACATTTCCCTTACAATGCCACATTTAAATCAACAATAGATCTAATTCCCAACCCTCCATACCTAATCGGTTTTTTGATTTCCTCCCATTTAACCAGATGAAATTTATGATTCTCCTTGTCATCATCCCAAAGAAATCTACATTGTAGATTTTCCAGATTTTTTGCAATATGCACTGGGATCAAAATTGTAGACAAAATAATAGATTGGTAAGTTAGCCATGGTGTTTTTTATTAACGTAAGTCTCCCCCTTTTTGATAGAAATTGTCTCTTCCAACCAGTCAACCTATTCTCACACATTTCCAATACAGGGTCCCAAGAAGCACTGCTTTTATACTTAGCTCCCAATGGTAAGCCAAGATATTTGATCAGTAATGTGACTTCTCTGCACTCCAAAACAGCCGCTATAATCTCCCATTCCCTTCACCACCCATTTTAGTCAATTCAGATTTTTGGAGATTGATCTTTAAACCCGACACCCCTTGAAAGTATAGTAAAACACACCACTAATGGAGGAGGTTTCTCTCATCAGGATGACAAAAGATTAAAGTGTCATCCACCAATAAGAGATGGGATACATCAAGTGTACTGCTACCACGACCAACGCAAACATCTTTAAAAACAACAAAGGATGTCGTTGTATTGCATGTACGCATCCAAAATCTCTATTTTGGCACAAAACCAAAATTTTCAAGCATGTAATCAACAAAACTCCAACTAACATGGTCATATGCCTTCTCCATATCGAGCTTACAAATGATTCCTTCTTTCCTAATAGTTACAAGATCATCAACAATCTCATTAGCTGTGATTACAGCATCAAGGATTTGTCTGCCTCCACAAAAGTGTTTTGACTATCACTAATAATATCTCCAAGCACCTTAGAAAGTCTTCCAGACAAAACTTTGGCAATGATTTTGTATGCACAGGCAACCAAATTAATGGGTCTGAAATCACCAAATTCCTTAAGCTTTTCTTTTTGGGAACAAGAGCAATAAAGATAGAATTAAGAGCCCTAACGAATTTTTCAGTTTTGTGCAGCTCCCTAAATATCTCCATAACATCATCCTTGATCATATACCACAATTTCTGCATAAATTTTATATTGAAACCATTCGGACCTGGAGCTTTATCCCCATTACACAAGTCCAAGCTCTCCTTAATCTCCACCTCAGAGAATTCCATTTCCAGCATTGTTTTATTAGTCTCAGATAGTCTTTTGAAGTTAATACCATCCATGTTAGGCCTTCTCCAGTGTTCTTCTTGGTACAACTAGGCAAAATAATCTTTGGTAGCCTTTCTAATCTCTGAATTTCTAGTACTTTTGCTGCCATCAGCCCAGATTTCAGGTAT